AGACTAAGCATATGACCGCGTCCGTTGGTCGTTTGTGATGACTACTTTGAAACACATGGGATTTGGGGCTTCTTTTTGCCAGTGGGTGAAGACTATGTACTCGGAAGCCACGACTACGGTGATGGTAAATGGACAACAATCTGACGAATTTGTACTCACTCGTTCCTTGAGGCAGGGCTGCCCTCTGGCCCCGCTGCTCTTCGTGGTTGATTTAGAAATTTTACTGGATAATATTCGCTTTAATGATGAAATTCAGGGATTAAAACTCAATAATTGTGTTCAGTGGAAGGGAGGGGCTTTGGCTGATGATTTAACCATTGCTTGTCAAAATAACAAAGAAAGCCTAAGGGCTATGCATGTAGTACTAAATGACTATTGCGAATTATCTGAGGCCTCTATAAATTGGAGTAAGGCAGCCTACTTTTTACCATCTTCATATAACCTGGGAGTGAATTGGGGTTTGAAGGTTGTACCATCCGATGCTTCAGAGCGTTTCTTGGGAGTACAAGTTTCGTTATCTGACAACTCGGAATTTCAAGATGTGATCTTGGTTGAAAAGTTTTGCAACAGAATCTCAAGCTGGAAACAAACAAGACATCTCTCCCTATTGGGAAGAGCGCTGGTTTTAACGACGGCGGCAGGCTCACTGTTATGGTCCACATTGGCGGTTCACCGTTTGGGGGACAGAGCGTATCAGAAGATCAAGCAGGCTTCAGGGAGGTTTATATGGAAACCGGAATCCCAGGAGCAGGAAAGTTATATGTCTAAAGTTGCCTGGGAAACAATTACTTTTCCCAGGCACCAGGGAGGTTTAGGTGTCTTGGACCCTAGACAGCAGAACCTGGCTCTGTTAAGTAAATGGCCAATAAAGGCACTTACTGCAACGATAGATGAACCATGGGTGGCATTGGGCCTACAGATATTGTCTAAAGAATGGTCGCTCAGCAGACAAGAAGATGCCTTGGCATGTTTATTGATACCCTCGTATGTGAACAAACAGTTGAAATCAAAGTTTTGGAGTGATATTCTTTATGCCTGGGGGAAGCTTTTTCCATCTGAAAGGGTCCCTCCCAATTCGAAAGATACGGTTCTCCTGGAAATCCTCTTTGAAAATCCTCATATTAGAGATGACCAGGGGAATACCTTTTTGGCTAAGGCGTCAGGGGGGCACTTTGGGAAAAGTTGGGTGGAAAGAGGAGTGGTTAGGATAAGGGATGTCTGGGATGAAACTCAGCAAGATTGGACTGATACAGCTACCCTGAGGCAGAAATTGCCTAGGCTGAGGTCGACATAGCAAAGACTAAGGAAGCTGATTACAGCCATACCGGATAGTTGGAAAAGACTTCTGCGGAATAATGCTGTTCCGACTGAGGGCCTATGGGGGAAAAAGCTGAATGACGATGGTCAGTATGAGTACTGGCAAGTCGTAGGTCCAGCATTAGAAGGAGGCTTCGAAGCCGTTGAATGGCTTCCGTCAGTTGATTTGTCTTTCAGCCATGAGATTGCACAGGGGATGAAAGGTAATCTGCCTACAGTAAATGACCTCGAGGAAATTAGAGTGTCGAACACTCTGACAAATGGTAACAGATCAGGTGCTGTCTCAAAAAGGAGATTGGTTGCGAAAGGGACTTCCATTAAACAGCTTGGAACTGACCCTATTTCGGTTGGATGGTACAGTGCAGAAAGTAAAAAGACGGTAACATTAGAAGAGTATAAACCCAAGGTAGGAATGGAAGTTCTTCGACGGAAAGTTAGGAAACAGCCTTACACTACAGTTACGAAAAGACGCACGGAACAAGGAATGCTGGGTATCTCAGTAGATAAAATGCAGGGACTGTGGGTAGAGCTAAAAGGATTGCCTTCACAAAAGCTGGCCAGTATGCTATGGATTCCTTCTGTTTTAGCTACAGCTTCAGCAGTATGGTTAGCTGCGAAAGGCATGAACATCTCCACCTCTTGCACGAGGTGTAAGTGGGGGTGGGAGACTACAAGACATCTCTGGCTGACATGCCCAGCCTCACGTCGCATCTGGGATTGGTGGATCCAGCATTGGGTCCAAATAACGAAAGGCACTTTCGACTGGACGGATGACTGGATACTGTCTGGATGTGAAAGTTCTGGGAAGGAATGGAAATATGTAGCTCAAGTAGTAAGAGCGATTATTATGAAAGTTATTTGGGATGATAGAAATGATCAACTTTTTCGTCGTAAGTTCATCTCGGATCTTCAAATCAAGAAGCGAATCACTTCGGGCATACGCAGAGCTATTATATGTGACTGGGAACGACACGCAACTCAGAAAGATATGCTGAAAAAGCAGAAATGGTTCTGGGAGACCTGGGGAAGAGATTCTGCGCTGGCATGGATAAATGATTAGGGGGGGCTTTCTTTCTGTTCCTGGTTATTGGCCACAATTGGCTTTGGGGAACGTATTAGTACCCCGCCATGAATGGAAGGTTTGTAGTGTTCTTATCCTCCCCCGCCATCCCCTGCCATCGGTTCATGAGGTAGGTTCCCAGACCTGTGCTATGTCTACTTTCGGTGGTATGAGGGGAAGTGGAATTTGAGCTTAACAGTTTTATTTTGAGGAAGGATAGGGGTAGGTCCAGAAAGTAGGTGTAGTGGAGGCATCTTAGGTCCAACCCGGGGGTCCTGAGTTATGCCTCACCTCTTTTTAATAGAGCTTGAAGTTTTGATCTTTTCTTTTGGGGAATTGATCTTGGTGGAAGAAACAAGTTTGGGACGTTGGACCCGGTTTCCAACATAGAGCCGAATCTGGGTAATGGCCCCCCCGGGTTGAATTGTGAGGTCCCCGGCCTCAACTTGTTTCTTGGAAATAAAGTTTTAAATTCTCCAAAAAAAAAAAAAAAAAAAAAAGAGTTGCTGCATAGCCACACAGCCTCTTGACACTTGGGGCAGTCAAGAGCTGTCAGAGTGGCTCTTGAAACCCTTTCAAGAACAATACCTTTCTCGGCCTTTTGGCTAAGATCAAGTGTAGTATCTGTTCTGATCAGTTTAATATCTGATTATATCTGATCCATCGGACCACACACACACACAAAAAAAAAAAAAAAAAAAGGAAAGATTGGAAACCCCAGCCTGCAAGGCATGCGTTTCCAAGTGTCCTTGGCCGAGCCGTTGACAGACTTTCGATTTTCAAGAGTTGTCAGGCCGTTATCCTGACCCCGTGCGAAAAAAAACAAAGCTGTATATGACTGTCGTTTTTCATCCTGTGTCCAAGGGCATCGCCCTTTCGAGAGTGCTGTGTGGCGAGGGGCCGAAAACTCTTGAAAACCCGACTCTTGAGAAAGTCTGACAGCTCTTGACATATTTCCCCGTTTCAAGAGTGGTGTCGCGAGGCCCTAAGTCGGCCGACGGAGGGGCACTCCGCAAATAAAAGGAAGTCAGATGCGCATTTCGAAAATTTGACCAAAAAGAAAATTATGGAGATGCGAGCTGCTCCCCACGAATAGATTGGAGCCTTGTTCCCACTTAAAAAAAAAAAAAAAAGAGAGAGGACGTCAGTAATACAGATCCCTGCATAGATTAACCATGTGCGACGCAAAAGACACAAATATTGAGCTCAGTGGACTCGCTACACACGGAACCAGAAATCCACAATCCGTGTTTGTAAGAAAAAAAAAAAAGAAAAAAAAATCCACAATCAGCTCAGTGCTCGGGTCGATCCACACACGCGGTTCACGCACCTTACCAACGGCCACGCCACTATGTCGTTGGAGACTCTCCCAACGCACAAGGGGAGGGGCGGTTGCGGTGGTGGGAAAGGGAGAAAGAGAAGAGGCCTGAGAGAGAGAGAGAGAGAGAGAGAGAGAGAGAGAGAGAGAGAGAGAGAGAAACGATTCCATCGCTCACGGACGATGACTGACAAGATCCCGAACAACTCGGAACAAGTTTTCTTCTTTTTGAATTTATCAACAAAGAAGAAGAACGCCCGGGACATAGTTCATCGAACTTTCCCAACAGACTAACGCCATACGCACACAGCCACATGCGTGAATTTATAAGACCAAAAATATTATTATGGCTGGACACTGTGAATATGTCCTCACTTAGGCAGGACAGCCCTCACAGGAATCGATGGCATGGGAAATATTACCATTGATTCCAATAGCCGGTCTCTTCTTGCAAAAAGACACAGTGTGATAGGCGGTGGGCTCGAGGTACACGTGTTCCGTCATCTTCTTTCCTCTTGGCAGAGCTATGGTGTTCCCATTGAAGACGCAGTTGCAGAATCTAGCAGCCAGTGGCCCGATTGACGAGACGACATTGACTGCGCCTCCTCTCTCTCCCACCCTCGTCAGGGAATTGCCGACAAACGACGAACGAGAGAAGAGGACGATTCCGTAATCAGCCACGAGAACTGCCGCCCCCTCCGCCGCCTTATTCCCCTCGAATCTGCATCCAACGCACGTTACTGACGCCTTGAGATGGCTAATTAACGGTCCTCCTTCGTTCGATCGGAAGAGGACATTGGTGGCTGTCAGACCAGTGTACGTGATAGAAATCATCTTCCCTTTGTTACGGATGAACTGAGAGTTCTTGATGACGACATCGTCCGCGCCCACGACGTCGATGAGGCCTGGGACATCGGTGCCAGCGAGATTGACATTACCGGACACAAGGCAGTTGGAGATGGTCGCCATGTGGAAGAAATGTCCGACGATATACGTGGGGCGCGTCGAAGTCCCGACAAAACCCACGAGTTCCAGATTGTCCAGAGTAAGTGTCTGACCGTCACCGGCGAATCCACTGAACCGCTCTTGGCCGTCGATCGTGCATCTTCTTCGACGGCCAGATCGCGTTTTGCAGCTGCCAATGACCGCCAAATCAGGACACGTCATCGGTTCCAAGTCACGTGTCAGGCGGACATCGCCAGTCAGTCGCAGGACCGTCTTCGTCTTCCGCGCCATCGCCGCGCGCAGAAGATCCTCCTGCGTCATCCGGGCTGAGCGGGAACCACCGCCGGCGGTGCTCGCGTCGCCATTACATGACACTGCCAGGCATAACAGTGTCAATGACAGAAGCAGCAGCTGTAGTCCACGTGTCAGCGACAATGGCGTCGGTCTACCTCCTCCTCTCATCTTCACAGCAACACCACACTCTTCTTCTTTCTGCCTTTCGTTCCAGGACCTACAATTGACTGCGCGCTATATGATTCTTCCGCCAAGAGCACGGATGGCGATGGCGGCGGACARTGGGGGACACGAGYACAGCCTMCGTGGCAGCRGAACAAGACCGCAAAATGCACAGTGACGGCGACGAGGATGACCACGAGGCGGAGTAAGAAGAAGGCTATGGTGGAAGAGGAAGCCTATGGTAGAAGAAGAAGGTTATAGTCATGAGGAGTCGGCGATCTGGGCAGCCTGCCGGAAATGAAGGTGCGTCCCAACAGACCTCAATCCGGAGCATGCACAGTAGCAGGCTTATGAAGACGAGTGAGGAACGTCGAGTCAAGAGTACAATTCGCAAATGAGCAGCAGGAGGAGGTGCCGGCCGCAGGAGAGACAGGATTATGAAGACGAGTGAGGAGATTGCAGACAAGCTCAAGCTCAGCTTGCACCGGCTTGCCTCGGCTCGGTTCAGTTCAAGTTCGGCTGGAGTTGCTGCACCCGTGAGAGAAAGCTTAGAAGAAGAAGAGATGGGCAATGCTTGTTTTATTTCTGGAGCGAACAAAGTGCCGAGAGGAACGGGAAGATGGCAGAGTGGAGGAGATGAACGGCCTCGTCCCGGCTTCCTTTCACTTGTCGTTTGCTCAAGCTGTGTTTCCTCAGAGGATTGTAAGAGGAGGACCCCACTGCTTTGCCGCGAAGCTTTGGAAGACCATTTGTGAGACCCAACTGCTTTGCGGCAAAGATTCGGAAAATGCTGGCAAATGACGTGTCAAGAGTTTTCCAAATGACGTGTCAAGAGTTTCCACTCAGTTTGGTTTTGCCCCTCCATCGCAGTTAGGCCATCCTGAGGGCCTCGCCACACCAGTCTTGAAAAGGGGAAATTTTTCAAGAGCTGTCAGAAGTTCTCAAGAGTTGGGTTTTCGAGAGTTTCGGGCCCCTCGCCACACAGCACTCTCGAAAGGGCGATGGTGTTGGACAAAGAATGGAAAACGACAGTAGTACAGCTTTGTTTTTTCCGAATGGCCTCAGGATAACAGCCTGACACCTCTCAAAAATCAAGAGCCCTTCGAGGACGCTAGCGGTGCTGCAGGCTGGGCGTTTCGGAGTTTCGAGAGCTACTCTTGAAAAGAGGTTTTGACAACTCTCGAAAGAGTTTTCGGGCTACAACTCTCAAGTGGCTGTGTGGGGACGCGTCCAACTCTTGAAAACGCAGTTTCAAGAGTGGTGTGGCGAGGCCCTGAGGGGGTAGGGGGAAAACACCCTCTTCGGTTTGCACATAGCATGTGGAACGGAGAGCCAGGGATTGGACGAGCACCCAGACAAGAGGATGTGAAGTTTCTGAATAGGGATACAAGTGGATGTGAAGTTTCTGAATAGGGAAGACGGACCTGCCGAAAATTTGTGCTGTAGCAGGGTCCGCTTTTCTGTTTCCCATCGCCGGGGTCTACGATTTGGGTTTGGCTGAAGCTTTCCACCTCCGTCAGGCAGTGGGGTCCACCTGTAAACCTGATCACACTGGCACTTAGAGGAATGTATCCAGCCATATTCACGGCCAAATCCGTGTTCCGTTTTTTTTTCCCTTTGTCTTTCTGGAATCTGACAACCTGGCCAGGGCGCTGATATGCCAAAAGGTCTCCAAATTTTGAGGCATTTGGGTAGGCCTATTTGGGACTTTAGGTCCTGGTGTGGTCACATGGGCGGACTTCGTCCAGAAAGGAAGAGAAAAGGACGAAGCAGGGGCCCTGACACTTCGCCCTCGGGCCCAGTGTGCATAGTCACAGGGGTGAGGACCAGAGGAGTACATTGAATTTCTTCTTTTTTTTAACACGCCAAAATAAAGTAAGAAAGTAGATGGATTTTTTTTCCCCTTCTTACAAGGTACATGGGCCTGGCTAAACTACTCTCCGAATGTGCAAAATGAGACTGAGGCCTGGAACCCACAGGAATTCCTTTGGAAAATACATTTCCACAGAACGGCCATCGGAAGAGTTCTGGAAAGTTTGGAAAGCCTTCTGCGGGAACCCCACCGCGGAGGTGCGGCAAAATCTTGAAAAAGTTTTCCGTAATAGGAAATGTGCCCGCCAACTGTCCCGAAATGGAAAGTGGTGGTTCATCCGAGTGACCACCCGTGGTCCGTGGAGCGTAGAACCAGCAACGTTCGGCACAGGGCGACTTTGGGCGGCGGTTGGGCGACCGGTGGTGGACGATTCGGGAATTTTGTCGTTGCAATCGTCATTGGGAACACTGGGTTTGTGGTACCGGGAAGGGTGCCACAAACACGCGATGTGACCGTTGGGATGGACTGCGGACGTGGTGTATATGGCTGCGAAGTCCCCACCAACCCCGAGCCCCCCTCTGACCCCTCCCCCACCAGTCAGCGGAGTGTTCGCTTCATGGCATTTGCTTCTCGTCCGGTGACGTCCATAGCTCGACGACGTCGTGAGCGGATTTCCTGCTGTGTGAACTCGGGTGTGCATCTTGTCTTCACACGCGGCAGTCGGCGAACCTCCGATTCGTGTGGAGTTGGCAGCCATGCCTGGTACTGCGAACGACTGGGATGGCTCCACGTTCCTATCGGTTTTCATCCTGCTGCAGTGGATGAACCGGAGGAACGTGGCCGCCATGGCCGTGCTTCAGGCAGCCGCTGCATTGCCGGTCGAAGTCCCCGGTGTCTGTTCCGCCATCTTCCTTCTCGCAGGCGCAGTGTTGCACAGCATGTTGTTGACATGTGTGGCAGCCACTGCATTCGAGAAAGAGATGGACAGCCGGCGGCGGATCTGGGTGTTGACACGTAGTGCAGGAGTGTGGAATGACCTGCAGAAGGTGGGAGGCAGGCACGGGAAAGTTTTCCAGCACTTTTGCAGACTGCCTAGGCCCTAGGCCTTTGTTCAACGACATCCTCTCTCGCATCGGCCCACATATCCAACGGCAAGCAAAGAACTGGCGTCAACCGGTGCCTGCAGGGCAGAAGTTCGCATGTGCGCTCATCAGGTGGGTGACTGGCGGTTTCTGCAGGCAGACAGCGCATGGTTTGGGGATGGGTTTGGCGAGTGCCCTTCGGAGGAATGAGGATGTCGCAGATGCACTCGTCAGCAAGTATGGGCATTTGCTGCAATTCCCCTCCGGCGACAAGCTGCAACAGAATTTGGATGCATTCGAGAGAAAGGGTTTCACTGGGTTTGTACGAGCAATCGACTACACACACATGTACATCGAGAAACCTAGGAACGAGCATGGAGAGTGCTACTACGACAGGAATGGTCAATTCTCGATAGTCGCGCAGGTCGTGTGCGACCACGAGTGTCGAATTGTCAGTGTGTATGTTGGTTGCCCGGGCTCCTTCCATGACAGGCATGTGCTTCACACGTCTCCTTTGTATCGACAGTATCGTCAGGCGCAACATCAGAGCGGGGGTTTCAGGACGGGCGCGAAGGTGCTGCGTGATGGCCGTGCAATCAGTAGGTATCTGCTGGCAGACGCAGGATACCCAAACTTGCCATGGCTGATGACTCCTGTCGGCGGGACAAGCAGGACACCAGCGAAGCAGGTTTACAATGATTGTCACACGTCGGCAAGGTTGTGCATCGAGCGAACTTTCGGTCGATTGAAGGCTGTGTGGCGGCACTTTATCAGAAGGCAAATTTGCAACTTGCAAACACTCCGCAAAGAGTTTTTTGCCATCTGCATCCTGCACAACATCATGGTGAATTCGAGGGTCGAGGTCGACCCCGATGCACTCTTTGACGAGAGTGACAGTGACAGTCCAAACACGGTTCGCCGTCGTCGTCGGCGACGTGTGAGGCACGCAAGACCCGCACGGCATCCTCCTCCTCCTCTAGAGCTTGGCAAGGAGTTGAGGGAAAGCCTCATCGGACATGTGTTGCATCACAGTCGTGTACACGGGGCTCCTAGACTGAGAATTGTTAAACTCGCGTGATGTAAAAAAAAAAAAAAAAAGAACTCGCGCGAATTGTTAAACTGTCAGTCGCTTAGCCACCACAGTGCCATTTAGACTTATGTAGGGAGCGGCCGTCAGGGGAGAAGAACCGACATGATCCTACCGTTCTGTCAAATACAGCACTGCCCGCACTATCCCTGGCGTTGTGAAGTCTATTTGGGCATGCTTTTGATCAGTTGTCCATGGACTGCAGAGGGGAAGGCGTCGATCACAGTATTGTGCATGACAGCTATCAAGTCAGTACGACATCGACGGTGGCTCTACGTCCACAGGCATAGGGTGCACTGCATTCACGGTATTACATAATCGAAACGGACGGCGTCTCTTGCTCGACCGGAACTGTCGGCATTGCCAACTGACCCCATTGGTGCAGGTTTTCTAGAGGCCGTAAACCTTGAGGAGGATACATCCTCCCCACAGGGATATGCAATCCGTAGATCATTAGCTTCCGGTAGCGAAGCCTTCTCGCCTGTTATCGGACACCGGAAAGCGGACTTGGGTTTCCAGACGGCTAGCACAAAAACCCAGAGTAGTGTGCACAACAACTCTCCAGTCGGCACAGAAGCGACGACGCCTCTTTGTCGACAGGCATAGGGTGCACTGCGTTCACGGTATCACATAATTGAAACGGATGGCGTCTCTTGCTCGACCGGGACTGTCGGCATTGCCAACTGACACCATTGGTGCAGGTTTTCCCGACACTGTAAACCCTAAGGAGGATACATCCTCCTCACAGGGATATGTAATCCATAGATCATTCAACAGAAAAAAACCTCGGGGGATTACAAGGTTTGAGCAACGTTAGGGTCATTGTAGCAACATTTAAAAACACCTTCTTGCCACTGTCAACATCGCATGGTTTGAGTCAACTATTGCCGAGCATTGTTGTCCAAACTTCAACGTTTCTCACCGCCTGTCGTAACGTCGGGACAACGTACTACAATATTCGTGGAATGATCATCATTTGTTGTGGGGAGACTGCGCGTGCGCGCGAGAGAGAGAGAGAGAGAGAGAGAGAGAGAGAGAGAGAGAGAGAGAGAGAGAGAGAGAGAGAGAGAGAGAGAGAG